GAGAGAGAGAGAGAGAGAGAGAGAGAGAGAGAGAGAGAGAGAGAGAGAGAGAGAAGCCATAGCCGCTATCTGGTTGAGACCCATTGTGTGTGTGTGTGTGTGTGTGTGTGTGCGGCAGAGCCGCTGGAGAAAAAACATTCTTGCATATTGGTAATAATATTGGAGATGACACCTTCAAGATATGATTGTATCTCGATTTGGCTTCTCACGTGTGATCTCTCATGTGGATGTTCATTGATGTATGTGAGGTTGAACTTGACGAGTACTTGGCTCCTTTCAATAATATCAATAAATGAATAATTGAATTAAAAAAAAAAAAAGGATGCTAATCATCAGCTAATGTAGTGCTTTTTTTTTTGGGGGGGGGGAACCGTTCCTACTTCGCCACTGATGCTCACACTCTTCCTCACCTCCTCTTTCGGACTTCCTCATGCTCCTTTCGCGTTTGATCCCTTTCTTCAGCCACTTTGTTGAGTTCCGCCACCCGTTCGTTGTACTCTGCCAGCTTTTTACGGTACCTGCAAATTAATGGGAAAAAGCCTGGTAATATAAATACATTCTTTTAAATCCTTTTTTCAAAAAGAAAAGGGAAAAAGGTTCAGCTTGTACACATACCAACTACCATGGGTGGTTAGCCACACGGTCAAAGCACGTTGGAATTTGGAGCACAGTACAGATATCAAGGGTTTCGCGGAACTTTCCCCCTCATCCTTTTTTCCCTTGGATAAAAATTCATAAAATGATGTAGGTCTGAGGATTGGAGTACTCAATGCTGTCGCAGAATCCACGTCGTTGGAACGGGAGGAAGCATTTTTCAAACTTTTTAAAGTGGGTATTATTAAAATTTATGTTGCTTTTTTTTTCTTTTCTGACTTGCCAGTGGAAAAAGAATGGAACCACGCCTTAAGGCCGGAGTTGTTGCTTTTTAAAGTTTTTATTGAACTCAGGCCTGAATGAGTTGTTTTCTTCCGTGTGCCCGGACACGCACCTGACCGCCTGGCCGAGCAGGACCTCCAGGCGCAGTCCCAGGAGACCGCAGGACAAAAAAAAACAAAAAAACTTAGACAATTAGAAAAATCTGAAAAAAAAAAAGTTGTGTACAGTTGCCATGCAAACAACTCTCGGCTGAAGGTCACCTCATAATTCCTTACTGAAACGCTGGGTCTGTTTTCCAGGTGCAAGGAAAATGAGCATCAGCGACAATATCCAGAATGCACAATCACATTGAAAGCCGGATAGTATCTCAGTGTCCAGAAAGCATCATTGCACCAATATAACACCAATGGAGATTCGTAACACTGAAAACCAATGTCAGTGAGAGCTTGCTCTCGCCACCACGAACATAAGAGTCCAGTCCCTTCTCCCTACTTGGCGCTCGGCGCCCAGCGTACTTCCTACACAGCTACTGTCTGCCTACTAAGTGACAATGCAACTGTTGACGTCAGCGGCCAACGGAGTACTTGAAGATGTCGCCCGATGCAGACCATCGCCAATACCAGGTATGTGCCCTCACATCATCATCATCATCCTTCTCTCTCTCCCCTGACTTACACCCACGTCTTCCCTCTGTACACCCGAAGACCACCCCTGCGCCTCACTGTAGTCCAAGCCCATCCAGCTATGGAGGCTGGGCTATGGCGCTGTCCTCAGCAGCACACTGCTTCCTGCATGACCGCACACACGCAGCACCTTGCCCTTAGCGCTAAGCAGCCCGCGAGCAATCGCTCCAGCAGCCCTGCCGCGGCGTTTGGCAAGTGCCTGAATCCATGCCCAGGCGGCGAGCTCTTTCCTATATGGAAAGAGCCTGCCTCCCGCGGCAGCCTGGCTGGCCTGGGCCTCTGCCCAGAAGCTTCCAGTAGGCCCCAGGAGGCTGTGCCTCTGTTGCAGCCGCTGGGCCTCGTTCGATTGGGCCTCCCAACTGTCTGTGTATGAGGCTGCGATTCTTGCCCAGGGCCTGCATTTCAGGAAAGGCCTGGAAGGCCGTGGAATGTCTTTGCTGCTCGGCCTGTGTTTTCCCTCAACCAACTGGCGCGTCACAACTGCCTGGACCCCAAATACGAAATTGACAGCAGAGGGCCTCCCGAGATTTGTTACGCAAGCCTTCACTTGGGGCGGGCACTTCTGTAACAGGGCCCCTTAGGCCCGCCGAGGTCCCAGATCCTCGGACAGGGAAAAAAAAAAAAAGAAAAAAAAAAAGAAGAGAGAGTTGCTCAGGTTACAATTGTAGGAAGTGTTGGAATTGTTTGATTGTGGGATAGCATAGACTACTGTAGATTGGTGCTCGTAACGTTAGAATAAACTGTAGAACTGGTAGAGCAGAAGATGAGAAGAAGGATTGTAGTCGTTGAAACAGTCATGGCATGAGCTTTGCCTGGCCGGAGAGCCTCGCTCAGCTCATAGCTGCGGCGACTCTTGTAAGGGACGCCTGGCCCGGTTCCCGACTTTCATATCAGTAAAGATTGATCCTTTTTCTTAAAAAAAAAAAAAAAAAAA